CAGGAGTTCCTTTGTTAATTTCAATAATTTCATTTTCTAAATCTTTGGCCAGTTTCAGGTAGATGCAAGAACAATGTTGATGGCAATAAGAATTCAGTCATCGGAGAACTGGCCATGTATAAAACATGACCCCCTCACTGGAACCCAGCCCACCTTTCTTGTGAACCGTTCTCACAGTGCCAATTGCATATATAAGCGGAGGACCTAAGTGTAGTTACCAACCAGGGAAACAAGTGGGAATGACGGCGAACCTTTCAAAAGAGGAGGACGGAGGACGTTCGTGAGTGTTAGAGGAACGTTGAGTGTCTTAAGAAAGTGGATGATGCCCTCAGATATTCTTGCGTAACACTCTACTCAGCCCAAATTGACATTTGATTTATTCTTTGTTCATTTGTTTGTTTGTTCATGTATTTCTTTGTTCATTCCTAGAATTAGCCCACAGTCACAAATGGAACCTAGGTTTTATTAAATCATAAAAGAAACTTGCTTTCATGATTTAAAAATGTCATCATCCATGATATATCTTGATCAAATCTTTTCATTTTTATGTTATGGAATTTTGGTCTGATTTAAGTGTATTCACTTTATTTTATTTATTTATTTATTTTCTGAGATGGAGTCTCGCTCTGTTGCCCAGGCTGGAATGCAGTGGCACAATCTTGGCTCACTGCAACCTCCGCCTCCCAGGCTCAAGCGATTCTCCCTGCCTCAGCCTCCCGAGTAGCTGGGACTACAGGCGCCCGCCACCTCGCCCGGCTAGTTTTTTTTTGTATATTTTAGTAGAGATGGGGTTTCACCGTGTTAGCCAGGATGGTCTCGATCTCCTGACCTCGTGATCCACCCGTCTCGGCCTCCCAAAGTGCTGGGATTACAGGCTTGAGCCACCGCGCCCGGCCAAGTGTATTCATTTTTAATGGCATCTTGGGGGCCAAGGATGAAGGAACTGGCACTGAAGGGCAAATGGCTGATGACATTTGAGTTGTGCACATCAAGGGGATAAAGACGCTGGTAAATGAGGTGGAGTGCACATGGCCCATCAGAGAGAGACTTGGCACTCTCTCTCTGCAAAGACACATTTCTCTAGCCTCAGACATTGACTTTCCAAATCCCTTGCTTCCCTAGACCCTCTCCATCGCAGCCAGCCTTGGACAGCTGCTGCTGGGCCAGAACACTGTGACCTCTGGAGGGGGAGGTGGGAGGAGGCCCCTCTCCCAACCACGTACGAGCTCAGGTAGACAGAGAAGAGGTCCTGAGCAAACCAGGCCCTGTCCAATGTTGTCAAAGACGGGTGTGGGCCCCGGAGAAGAATGCTGGGTAGCCAAGCCCCCAGGGATGCCGTCGAACGGGAGCATAATACAGGAAGAGCCCGGGTTCGGTCTCGCTCAAGCCGAAGATCTGAATTGGTGTCCGGATGCCTCCAAACCCCCTGGGGGGTGGGGGAACCGAGATGATGTTCACCATCAGTCATGTTCACTGAGTCGGTGCCCAGCCTCAGGCCCAACAGCTGGCCCTGGTCATACCCATGCAGGACTTGCTTCCAGGGTAATCAAAGCCCGGAAGAGGGAGAGGGAACTGTCTCCCTGGATCCTCGTCTCTGCGGGAGGATACCATGGGCAGCTGATCTGCAGAATGGCCACGGTCTAATGACCTGCAGTGGTGAGATTGCTGGAGAACCGATATTCAACCTTGTGTGGGTTTTGTGGGTTACGGAATTGACAGATGCAAAGCAAACCCGGGCCGAATCAGGGCCTTTGATCTCTGGGGGGGGGGCCATCGCCCCAAAAATGGCAAAGAAGAGGGCTTATGGAGATTTCTATGTGGGGGGCGCCAGGTCGGGAAAGGAGGAAAGAGAGAGGTGCCAGTTAGAATTGAGCCTTACTGGACTCTCTCCCCCTCCATAACATCTGCCTTGGGTGAGCCGAGTGCTTAGCTCCCGCGCCACCCATCTTTTACTCACGCACCCGAGCTAGCAACGTTGTGACATCTCTTGCTTCTCCCCACCGCACCCCAATCAGGCGTTTACCTTGTGATCACCGGAAGACTCATCGTGCTGGAATAAAGCTATCTCGGGGGGTTGCCCTATGGCGGGGATGCAGCGCAGCCTGGCAGGCGCCCACCTGCGAAAACAGTGTCGTATCCGAGGATGCCTGTCATGCTGCCGGTGCCGTAGGTGATGGAGAGTGTCCCGCTGGTGGACTGGTATGTGGAGGAATCCTGAGGGTTGAAGCGTTTGTGGTTGGCTGCAAGGGCAAGTGGTGATTGTCAGTCTCAGAGCTGGGTGAAGGTCACAGGCTGGGATGTCTTCCTGGGATGGGGTGCCCTGGCCCTAGGAAGGGCTCTGGAGGTGAGCAGTGACCTTTCCCCCTAGACCCTTGGACCCCGAGAGACCCCATGTTCTGTCCTGTCTCATTGAACTCCTGGGACCCTTCACTGATGGCAGGTTCCCAGCCAACCCCAAGGGCCTCCCGGGGACTCCCCAGGCCAACATTGAGCTGAGCAGGCTGGTGGCTGCCCAGTGATGAGCGCTTTCACCCCCCAGCCCCTGGCCGGTGCTCCCGTTATGATGTGGAAGAAGCTGGAGGCACCTCCTCTTAATTAAAACTCAGGTGAAAACATTAGAAGAGGAAGGAACCTGTAACACATATTGTTCATGACTTCCAAAGACAAGCTCTCTTTCGTTAGCAAACAATGATTTTTCTTTTTTTTTAAACGAGCTCAGCACTCACCTCTAGCATGTCCTAGTGGGCTATTCTACAGCCCTTTGGCCCTGTCTTGCTTTGGGCCCCTACACATCCTCTCCCAGGCTGTGGTTATTTTGGGGAGCTTCTCTCCGCCCTCAGACTGGGAAGTCTTTGACCACAGGGATCATATCATTCATCCCTTTACCCCGTGGAGCACCTGCGCCTAGTGCTTGGCACGTAGTAGGTGCTCAGTAAATGCCTGTTGAGTGGCTCCAGCAGGTTTGGGGGGAGGTGTCTGAAGCCCACGGGTGTCCAGGGTTCCCCAGGGTCAGCTGGGGCTGGAGATCGAGACTGGGGTGGGGCGGGCTGGGAACTTACTGCAGGCGAGACTGGAGCAGTAGACTGAGGGCACCCACAGGTTGGAGGAGCCGGTGTCAAAGACGACGGTGAAATTCTGGGCAGGGGTTCCGATGCCGATAGTGCCGAAGTACTCCATCTGCCGAGGCCGGGACAGGGCAGTTCATGGACCGGGGTCTCTCTGTCGGGGCCTTCCTAAGGGCTCTCTCTGGGTCATCTCCTTGGTGTGCCTCTCTACCTTTTCATTCCCTCCTCACAGTTCTTGTCTTTCTCTTCCCAGCCACCGCCTTCATCCTTCAAAGCCCAGCCCTGGTATCCCTTCCTCCTTGAAGTCTTCCCTGATTGCTCCCCCAATTTACCCTCTGCTCGCTCCTAAGCACCACAAGCACCTAACAATCTGCTGCTCCCTATTCAGCCATTGTCTCAGATGTCACAGTCTTCCCATCCTTACAGCACAGAGTATGGGGGTGGAACCTTCTAGCACCCGGCTAGTGACAGCTTAAGTGCTTGTGCCTTAAATTGTTTATCGGAAGCTAAGCAAGCTACCTAAAGATGGAAACCTGGCCGATTTTCTTATTTCTACATCTAGATGTGTACAGTAGGTTGCAAGAAAGGGCATTGCCAGTATTTTTCTTCTGCTTCTTTCTTCTTCTTTTTTTTTTTTTTTGAGGCAAGTCTCGCTCTGTTGTCCAGGCTGGAGTGCAGTGGCATGATCTTGGCTCACTGCAGCCTCTGCCTCCTGGGTTCCAGTGATTCTCCTGCCTCAGCCTCCCAAGTAGCTGGGATGACAGGTGTGTGCCATCACGCCTGGCTAATTTTTGTATTTGTAGTAGTGACGGGGTTTCACCATGTTTCCAGGCTGGTCTCAAACTCCTGACTTCAAGTGATCCACCCACCTCAGCCAACCAACCAGTATTTTTCTTCTGAGTGGCAGCATTTTCCCCCCTTGCCGGCTCTGTTCCCGCCACACTGGGCTGCTTGCTGCTCCTTGGCGATGAGCAGTCCCTCCTGCCCTAGGGCCTTTGCACTGGCTATTCCTTGTGCTAGGAAAATGTTTATTCTAGATCTTTCTTTGGTTGATCCTTTTTCAAAAATCAATCATTCAGGTCTCTAGTCAAATGTCCCCTCTGCCAACAGGCCTTCTGTGACCACTTTATCTAAATTTGCCCCCTCTCCATCTTCTTTTTCCTCATACTCCAATTAATTAATTTGTCTTGGCCCTCATCAGTACCTGAAATTATCCTCCACGCTTGCTTATCTGTCATCCCCTGTAGAATATAAGCTCCAGGAACTTTGCTTATTCACCATCGTTTTGGCAACTTGCATAGCCTCTGGCCCATAGAGAGGTGCCAATATTTGCTAAATATTTGTTAACTAAATAAATGCACTAACTAAGCCTCTTACCAAGGGCCTGCCAGACCCCATGCTAAGCACTCCAGAAAACATGATTGCGGGAATTCCTGGCAACAACCTCTGTTGGTAGATATTAGTGTTTCTGTTTTCCAGACCAAGAAACGGGCTCAGAGGATTTAAATGTCTTGGCCAAAGTCCTGTGGCTTAGAGGCGCTAGAACTCACATTTGCACCAGGTCTGTTGGATGGCAGAGGCCAATCTCTGAACCACAGTCATCACTGCTCTGTGCCCTCTGCCACTTGCAGGCACAGAGGGGACATCGATATCTGTGGGAAGGCAGGGTTTGCTGTCGGGTCTCAAATAATAAAGTCAGAGTGATCTTTCTGAAACTCGGATCTGATTTGTCACCCCCTGTTTGAGATAAATCAGTGGGCAGTTAGGATTGGAGCCTCTCCTCCATCACCCCTCGCTACCTCAAAGGAAGCGCAGTTGGCAGGGCGAGGCCTTCTTCCTTCCTCTGGGCTCTCCTTAAATGCGCTGTGCTCCAGCCTGCACAGGGTTCGGACACAGCGATCAGGCGTGCGGAGTTCTGTCTTCTCCTGGAAATTCCCCGCCTCCTTCCTGCCATTAGAGCTCACGGAGGCTCCCCTGCCGAGTGGCAGAGGTCCTCCCGCAGTGTGACAGCCATTCACTCTGTGGTCCTCCTGGCTGCCTGGTTCTTTTTTCAATTGGTTTGGCAAGGACTCCTCTGATTAGCTGCTCTCTCCCTTGCTCATGGACCTTTGCACTGCTGTTTTCCACCTGAAGCCGCACGCAGGCCCTGACATGTATAACGGGTGCTCAGGAAATAAACATTGCTGACGGATGGAGGAATGTAGTGCAGCAAGCGCTTTACATGGTGTAGAGACTTTCCATGGGCTGCCACGGGGCCACAGCACTAGGAGGGGGGGGGGGCAAGACCCTGGGTCACTGGCCTGGAGCCTCAGAGCCCCGGCCATCCTCCAAGACCCCCCCAGGGAAACTCCTTTTCCTGCGGGTCAAGTCCTCCAGAGCGCGCCCCGCGCTTGCCCACAGGCCTCACCATACAGGTAAGTTCTCCAGGCTGTTCTCTATCAGGGGTGGGCCGCCTCCCCGCCTGGGGAAGTATCATCCTGGCTGGGTTGAAAGTTTGTGCTTCTTCAAGAGAAAAGATACTTCAGCAAGCACACATTGCTCAGACAGGTTGTGCCTCCAAGGACTTCTTTCTGACGAGGGGGACCCTGTGGTTTGAGGAGGAAAGAGGAATTAGAAGCAAGTGATTCTGCCTCACCGGGTGCTGTGGCAGCCCGCAAAGAAGGGAAGGGAAGCTGGTCTAAGAGAAGGAAGAAGGAAGAAGGGAAAGACCCCCTCCCACTTCATGTCAATAATGACAAAAGAAAAAGTTAAGTTTGACTTGGGCTTTTCTGGAGGCTGGGAACAGACTCGAGCTGGGCCCCAGAGTTTTTAACCACATCTGCACGCAGCTGGCCTCCAGCAGGGAGAGGGAGGCAGCAGGGGGTGGGCACAGCACAGACAGGTAAAAGGGGAGTGGGACACAAGGAGTAAAGAAGGTGATGTGGCGAGCAGGCATCTTCACACCCATGCCCAGCCTGGACTCACTTGTAGATGATGCACTCAGAGAGCGGCCAACCCGCAGACCAGGCAGGCAGCAGCCATTCATGGAGGTTCTTACCTGGGGGTCCCCTCAGGGGGCGACGGGAGGAAGGATGGCGACGGGGCAGCATGAGCCTGCCCTTTCCAACTTTGGGTCCTGCCTTATGGGAAAACTCCCTTTGAAAGTCACCGTTCCCTGATCCAAACACAAAGCTCCGTGATTGATTATGCTGCCCCAAGCCGTTCTGATGCTGTTTCCCTGAGGCACTTTCCTTGATACCTTTGCAGCTTGTGGGCGTTGGGTGGGGTTGCCAAATGGGGGGGGGGAGGTGGCCCGACAGGGGGGGGGGAGGGACATGACCTTGGGGCCGCCCTTTTCCTTTTTACCCATGGACTTTTTCCCTTCCCTTCCCTTTCTTCCTTCGTATCTTCCCCTCCCCTTCCCTCCTCCCTTTCACCCCATACACTTCATTCACCCTCGTTCCCTCCCTCCCTCCCCTCCTCTCCTCCGCCTTCCCTTCCCTAATTTCTCTCTTTCTCCATCCCGCCTCGCCTACCCTCCTCCTCCCCTCCCCTTCCTTCCCTTCCCTCTCTTTTCTCTTCTCTCCTTTTCCCTTTTTTTTTTGTGATGGAGTTTTGGCTCTGCGTCGTCCAGCCAGAGCCTTATTCTTTCCTTTCCCCTTTCCTGGCTTACTTTTGGTGCCAACTGGCTGAGTCCTGGGAAAAGGAAGATGTGCGCAGTACATGGGGAGGAGGGAGAGGAGCCACCGGGAAGAATGCTGCGTTCCCTCTTGGAGAGGCAAACTTGAGACAGGCCAGGTATTTCTTTGGAATTGTGTCCCTCCCTTTCTGCACCCCCTTCTGCTTTCTTTTTGAGCTCCTTTCCCACAAAAACGCTCTCCACTTTTGAGATCCGCCACCTGGGTCTGATTTCTCCAGGTGCTCCAGGCTTACAACTGGGCTGAAATCAGCTAGCAATGGAGCAAAGCAATCTGGCGCCAAAGAATTCCATAACTCCGTGGGTGAGTGACTAGAAAGGAATGCTTAGCTGGGTGCCGTGGCTGCCACGCTTGTAATCCCAGTACTCTTGGGGAAGGCTAGGCAGGTGAATCACCTGAGTCAGAGTTCAAGACGCAGCCCTGAGTCAACGTAGTGAAACCCCATCTCCACTAAAAAGTAAAGAGAATAGTTCTGGTCATGTGGTGGGGCAGCATGTAATCCCAGTTGGACTGACCAGGAGCGAGCAAGGAGAATCGCTTGAACGCCAGGAGGCAGAAGGTTGTGAAGAGTTTTAAGTTCCAGCTTGAGCTTCTGATCAAGTGGGAACATTAGAGAACTTTGTGTCTGGCTAAGGGATTGTAAATGCACCAATCAGCACTCTGTGTCTAGCTAATGGGGTAGAGACTTGGAGAACTTTTGTGTCTACCTAAAGGATTGTAAATGCACCAATCAGCTCTCTGTAAAATGGACCAGTCAGCTCTCTGTAAAATGGACCAATCAAAAGGATGAGGGTGGGGCCAAATAAGGGAATGAAAGCAGGCCACCGGAGCCAGCAGCGGCAACCCCTTTGGGTCACCTTCTAGGTGTGGAAGCTTTGTTTTTTCACTCTTCTCTTCGCAATAAATCTTGCTGCTGCTCAACTCTTTGGGTGTGCACTACCTTTATGAGCTGTAACTCTCACTGCGAAGGTCTGCAGCTTCACTCCTGAAGCCAGTGAGATCACAAATCCACCAGGAGGAAGGAACAACTCTGGACGCCACCTTTAAGAGCTGTTACACTCACTGAGAAGGTCTGCAGCTTCACTCCTGAAGCCAGCAAGACCACGAACCCACCAGAAGGAAGAAACTCCAGACATATCTGAACATCTGAAGAAACAAACTGTGGACACACCATCTTTAAGAACTGTAACACTCACCGTGAGGGTCCGCGGCTTCATTCTTGAAGTCAGCGACACCAAGAACCCCGGAAGGAACCAATTCTGGATACAGTTGCAGTAAGCTGAGATCCTGCCACTGCACTCCAGCCTTGGCGACAGAGCTAGACTCCGTCTCAAACAAACAAATAAACAAAAAACAAAAAACAAAAAAAGAAAGGAAGAAAGAGGATGCTTACCAAAGCAATGGATCCTCCACTTTGTGAACATTTATTCAGTGGACAAAGTAGAGTGAAAACTCTGATGCATAAATTACTGGGGAGGAGGACAGGGGAGTGGGGTGGTCCCTAGGTAGATAGGAAGCCCTGTCTCAGGGTCTTGTTCTGAAATCAGATCCCCTGGGGCATCCTGAGACTGTCCAGCCATGAGAGCTACAGGTTCTGTAAAAGCTCCAAGTTGTCTCCAGTGCCTCCAGGTGAGTATTCAGAAGTGGGCAGTGTGGATAAGTTCAGGGACAGTGGTGGTTAGTAAAAAACACGTTGACATTTCAGCCTTCTCTGTTAGCTGACATGTTTGTGCCCCAAATGTGAATCCTGGGCCCGTTTTTTTTTCTTTTTTTTTTCTAAGCAGTCAATCTCACTCCAGTATGACTAGCACTTGTATTTCCCACGTTCAGGTCTTCTGGTGCCTGCTTCTCTTCCTCTCTCTTTCCTCACTCTCAAGCCTCTCTCTAGCACTCTCTCTCTCTCTTTTTTTTTTTTTTTTGAGACAGGTTCTTATTCTATCACTCAGGGTGGAGTGTAGTGGCATGATCACGGCTTACTGCAGCCTCAACCTCCCACGCTTAATCAGTCCTCTGGTCTCAGGCTCCCAGTAGCTGGGACTAAAGTCATGAGCCACTACACCCAGCTAACTTTTGTATTTTCTGTAGAGACAGGGCTTCACTATGCGACCCAGGCTGGTTTCGAACTCCTGGGCTCAAGCGATCTTCCTGCCTCAGCCTCTCAAAGTGCTGGGATTACAGTGAACCACAGTGCACCTGGCCCTCTCTCTCTTTATGGAAACGTAATATTTTACATATATTTTGAATACCTGTGATATTCTGTTACATGCATAGAAACAGTAATGATCAAGTCAGGGTAATTGGAGTATCCATCACCTTAAGTATGGGTTGATCCTAGCACTCATACGAAGAACTTGATGGTCCTGATGGTGCCTGTCTAAGTTCTGGGGGCACCAGATGGAATCTCCTCACTCAAGGCTGCCACCAGATGGAAGGGAGGGAGTTTGGAGCCCAAGGTTGGGTGCTGGTTTTGGGGGCACAGCTTCTCTGGGGTCCACATGGGAATTTTGAGCAGAGGAGAAGTATATTTGGGAAGCAGAAGGAAGATGCCCCAGGCAGAAACCTGCAAGCACCTTAACACATTCATTCGAATGCCTGATTGTGCACTTGCTGTGTACCGTGCAGGGATGCTCTAGCTGCTGGAGGTACATCCCTGAGCGTGGTAGGAATAGGCCGTGCCTTTGGCGGGTTTGTGGTCAGTTCAAGGGAAAGCTGGTGTGGAAGGGGCTCTTTCTTTCCACCTGGATGGATATTTGGATCACATTGAGGGGAAGCTCTTGGATTGGTGAGGATGATAATGTTTCTCCACATTAGAGATTTTAGCATCCTGAGGGATGCTGGTATGCTTGCTGACACCAATACAGGGTATGGCAGAGAGACTCTAGGATGGCCCTCAATTATTCATGCTGCTGGTGTTCACACCCCTGTGTAATCCCCTCCCCTTCTGTGTAGGCAGGACTTGCTTCTAACCAACAGGATACAGAAAAGTAGATGGGATGTCGCTTTTGTGATGACATTATACAGGCTCGTAGCTTGTGTCTTGCTAGTACACTCTCTGTATAGACTCTTCCCCTTGCTGGCTCTGAGAAAGAAAGCTGCCCTATAAAGAGGCCCAAGGGGAAGGAACCAAGGGTGGCCTCCAGCCGACAGCCAGCAAGGAACTCAGGCCTTCAGTGTGACAATCTGTAAGTAACTGAATCCTGCCAGCAACCGTGTGAGCGTGGAAGCAGATCCTTCTCCAGTTGAGCCTCAGATGAGACCACAGACCAGGCTGACATCCCTGACTGACACAGGCCTCTG